AATCCCTGAGGCTCGCTACAGCAGAGATGTGACCCGCCCCGTCTTGATTACCAGCCAAGAGCACGGAACTCACAGCGGGAGGACATTCAAATCAACTCACTGAGCCAGAGTACCTCCAGCTTTCACATCAACACTGGGGGAAACAAAGTTGGCTTGGTGCAATGTTTGGTTAAGCTTCTGTTTCTGATGTGTTTAAAATTGAGTATTTCAGGCATTTTAGACTCTCAAATCGGCATCGCACATGTTTTTAGGAGTTGGTGGGAAAAGCCGGAAATGTCACAGTTGTTCATTGTGCTATAATTTCCAGCTTTCGTCTTAGAATTTGCGTCACATATCAAATTCATTACAAACATCCTTTTTTAGAAAATCTGATGGAAACATGCTGGCTTTAGTTGATCAGATAACCCTTTCTAATTTTCCTACTGGTAGAAAAGAGTCCTGTGAGTCACTATTTGCCACTTTGGGCTGAGAGCTGATTGGCCGAGTGACTTTTTTGTCTAAAAAGCTGAAGAGGCCCAAAAAGCACACAAAAACTAGTGATAGAACCAAACTGTTGTTGGAGCAAGCAAGTTTGATAAATTTTTTTCACAATTACATTTTTTGTTGTTTCAAAATAAGGTACCATGCAGGTTTAATGATGCTTTAACTTAAAAAAAAAAAAAAAAAAAAGCCCTTTAGCTTAATATTAAGTTACTAACTTTTCTGGTGACAATGATATAAAAAAAAAAAAAAACATGTATTCCAACTCTTTGCGAATTCTGACCTTCACCGAACACGGCCTTTTGTGTCACCAGTTGAATTTGCATACACTATAACTGTAATTTTACACATACTGTACGGATCAGAATCTACATACAGCCTCATTGTCCAGTCAGCAAAGCATATGGATGCATTTATCTCAGTTTCAGGTACAGGTAAAGAAGCCTCTCAAACATGCTTCAGAAAGTGTCCCGGCAAACCCCCTGGGATTCATTTAGTGCTTTGGACGCTTCCCGCTCGGCCTCGTGTCCCTGAAGGCATCCATAATTCATCTGCATGTGTCCAGGATGTCACCATTCCAGCGAGCTTGTATTAAATATTTACCTCAGATCATAAGCTGCAGCCACTCAGGCCTGCAAGCTCCTTTAGGAAGTCCGCTTTCAGGACCCGCCGTCAACGCAAATCCCAAATGAGCCAAGAGACCAGAGATGGCTATTTGAAAATCAATCAATCTTTGCAGGTATCTTGAATGGCATCGCACCGGCCATGCTAAAAGCTCTCAGCAAAATGATGCGTTCATTGGGAGTAGTCTTCGGGAGCAATGCTTTTGAGTCGTCAGATATCTGAAAATGGTTTGGATGAAGCAAAAATCTTATAGAAATTGAATCCCCTCCCAGCCATTCAGACACATACGACCATTCAACACAAAAACAAGGAAGTAATACCCGACGTTCTCTACTTTAAATTGGTTTTACCTGAGTTATCGCTTCCTCTCCTGCACCTTTGATACGACTCAGCAGGTACATGGAGCAACAGGGATGAAGGTCAAAACACACTAATGAGCCATGGGAGAAGTTGGCTACTCTCAACAATACATTTGCCGTACTGTAACCGTGGTAAAAAATAACTGGATGGTTGGCTGTTCTGAAGATATTGTGACAGTGCATTGACCAGGTGAGATTATTGATATTTATTTCAATAATCCTGATTGCTTTTTGGACTCATTTGGTTGAATACAGACAATACTATTCAATTAGTTTCAAGAAAAAGATTGGTTCCTAATTCAAGCAACCTAAGTAATGTAACAAAACATTGGTATAAAAGGTATTCCGGATGGATCATCAAGACTATTGGTCCTCCTAATAGTAAGTCATTCTGGTGATACATGCTCGTCAAACAAGATCCAAGACGTTTTTTCAATAAGCGAGGAGAGCGGTTCTTTCCTAAAATTTGGGAAAATATACCTTTTAATTTCTAGGGTGATTGATGACATTTCTGTCATCACCAAACATCCTTGGGTGTCTTTTCCTTGCAACATGGTGAGGATCCAGGACACTCAACAACAATTATGGACATTTATCAACACTTATGGATATTGGTCAACTCCCTCCTATGGACAAATACCTGTTGTAATGTGTTTTCTATTCTTTATGTTTGAACTGTCTCTGATCTGTGTTGGCGAACTCAATGCTTTTGTAAAGTCCTCTGAGATAACTACTGTTGTGATTTAGGGCTAAACAAGAATACATTGAATTCATTTGAATTGAATTTTTGACTGTAATTGTGACCAGCAATAGAACTGTGTTTAGCCTCTTACATGTAAAACCAGTTGAAGAAAGTTATATAACGACAATACATGTTAGGGTAACAAGCTCTGTGACCAGAGAGAAGCTCTTACCGTCTAAGTTTGCATGCACTGAGGGTTTGTTTTGAGTGACCCGTTGATTCTGACACATCCCTATTTTCCCTGTGGTGAAAAGCCGAGTCCAAACGACGTATCGACTTTTCCTACTGTTGCATTGGCTGGACCCATCATTTCAACATGTGTCAAACTACCGCAGTGGGAAAAAGCTGATTGATAACTTTTGCCATAACCAACACCAACACGTTATTCTTGTTCCATTTGAGAGTGGACCAAAGAGAAAAGACACACAAAAAATAACTTACAAAGCCTTCAGACTGTAGGAGCAATATAAGTGGAACAAGGCACCCAGCTGGAACGGACAATCTACCTCCAGATTGTAGAGCAGGCTCAGATGATAGGAAAATATTGATTGTAAACATTGTCAGGAGCTGTAACATCAGGCAGAGGGAGGCGAGAGGGGGAGCTTTCTCGTTCGCTGGCTGCTAAATTGACATGGGAAGTCCACAGGAAGATTTGATTGAGACAACGGGACAGGAGCAGCAATAGATCCATACGATATTGTATTCTGTAGAAGGTAATTGTGTGAATAATGATTGCATACCAGCCGTTTATGAACAAGACAATAGTGAATGAATTTTGAGAATGGACAAAATAACTGGAAGCAAGACATTTCTTCCAGTTGTTTTGCCTGTAGGTCAGAACACGTTCGTTGCAACATTTGTGTACTAAAATAAATTCACAGTTGAGCACAAAATACTTTGAAGCATAGAGCAATGTTACTATTTTGCTTTTTGCCTTTTCAAACTATCTACCATCTGCACTTAACATAAACTACACCAAATCCTATAGACCTCTTTCTCAGGGACTGACCAATATGATTACATTTGGAGCTGATACCAATGGCCTTTTTTGTAATTATGCTCATCCTTTTTTTTTCTTTCAATAAATGATCAAGTATATAATATGTATATATTTTAAGTATATACTTACTGTTTGATGTTAGATCAGCAGCAAATACATTGTTTCTAGCTCGTAAGCAGCATAATGTTCATGAATAAATATCAGTAATCTATAATATTGCAGTAAATACATTTACAAAAGAATGAATTTGAGAATTTTTGTTTATGATGTCAATGGCTTCTTTAGAGTTTGTGCATTACATCAGTAACAGATGAGTGAAATGTAAAGCTGCAATAATTGGACTGTACAGATCATTGGCTTTAAAACATGTCAATAGATTGACCAAATTTGTTGGAGTTTGATTGGGGATTTTGAAATTTTTTTTGCTATCTCAGGTAATTACTGAAGTCTAGCAAGTCTTCAAAATTGATCGTTTGAATTGGTCCCGACTCCTTACACTGACCCAAAATACTGTTTTTCAATCCAAGCTATGGTTGATGGCTCAAAAAATGTGCTGATGTCGGAATATCGCATGCCTTCTCAAGCTTCCCCTCTGGGTTTCTATGAATGGTATTTTATTGGTTCATTTAGGTCAGCCTAACTATCCACCACCCAAATTATCTCCCCTAGATTGCCCGCTGAAAAAATGGCAGCGCGCCTGTTTGCAATGAACAAGAGGAAGGCATTATTGTTCCCTGCCAGAAGCTCTTGCTGCCAAAGCGCCGTGGAGTACGTGAAGTGGGGTACAAAGACCCAATTAAAAAGCAATGGGTAATTATGCGCGGCTATCATATTTCAGGCTCGACCATAAGGAGCTATGTGACCAGAGGAGCTTGTCAATATTTCTGTCCTGCGCTCTCAGCATCTGCACATTGTTTACACATTGTTAATCGATACACCTAATGCTGCTTGAACAGTGTAATTAAAATGTTAAATTGTGTAATGGTTGCTGCTGCCGTGGGATCAAGTGTGGGACGTACAACAAGACGTATTTAGCTCTAATGAAGTTGTGCTTAAAAAGGATGACCGTGCAATCATTTTTCCTATTAACATTTTGATCCAGTAAAGCCTTGTAAAGAGTATTGTATTTGTTTGTTTCTTCATGCGTTTCCCATGCTACATATATCAACCAAATAGTCATAGTTTGTACATACATCATTTGAACCATGCCAAGGCAATGTAAGTTTAATTGTATGGCACAGTGCATGCACAAGGCAACTCAAAGTGCAAACAAAACAAGGCTTTCAAATCATAAAGAATCACAGTACATTAAAACAAGTAAATATACAATCCTTACGTTGTATGCACAGCTAAATGTTTTTTACCTGGATTTGAACATTGTCAGATAAGAGGCCTGTCTCAAATTTTCAGAATCAATTCAATCTGAAAAGCTGCCTCGCCATGTTTAGTTCTGGCTCTGGCATCAGTAGAAGGCCAGTCCCTGTGCTTCTAAAAGTCAGGTTAAAATGGCATGAGGAAACAGGAACCAGTAGCCACATAATGCTGTTGTCACTGATGTCTCATGATAGCAAATCAACTGGCAGCTGTTTCCAGATGGTTCCCATCCAAAAAGAAATCTTATTGAATAAATGTGTGTGCCTTTGCCAGACCCTTTCTTATGAATCTCATCCAATGAATCCTTTTGAAATAGCTGCCTGTGTTTGTCCCAAATCCATGCACTTTAATGAGTTTTCTCACAATAGAAGAAATTAAGTGCTTTTCCATTGACAGTGTTTTTCCTCTTTTGTTTTTCTAGTGCGATTACGCTGGACAACACGCTGGTCATTCTGTCTGCGGTGGCTCCAGACGCCGGACGATACTATGTCCAAGCTGTGAACGACAAGAATGGCGAGAACAAGACCAGCCAGCCCATCACACTGTCGGTGGAGAGTAAGTGCAAAATGTGCTTATAATAGGCTTTGGGGTTTGTCTGGCCTCCCACATCTGCAAACTCTGCCAAACGACAGCCACAAGAAAGCCGTAGCCCTGGCATGTCCAAACGTGTCATTTTAGGCAGCCCACGGCCTTGCTATCCCAGCGTAGTCCTTGAGGAATTTTCTCAATGTCATCCAGCCAACTTCAGCTCCATCAATATAGTGTATATGCCATACCTTGTTGTAAAGCTCAGAACATTTGAAATCCAGTTAATAACCGTATTTGGGATTTGGTTTTGATTGTATTTTATATATGGCATTAATGTAGCTGTGGTGGTTAGGGTTAAGGACCCCATTACCATACCCCATTTTAAAGCCCAGAACTGGCTCTGTTTTTACAGTTATAAAGTTTGGAGCTGTACCTTTTGTTCATTTTTAGGCATCTTTCGGTTCAATACATAGCCTGGCTGGACTCTCATCTTCAGTAAATATAATATCAATGCACAAAGGCTTAAAGGGCCTCTTTTAGAATTGACTAAATTGTAACTAGTTAAAAACAGCAGTTGCTCAAGCTTCAAGTATAAAAGTTATGTTCCTAACTTTAAGTAACCAGTGCGAGTCAGAGTTGCTAACAATACTTCTAAGCAACTGGGGACTGGGATATTCCATCTGCAACTTGAAACAAAATGCCCTGAAATGCCGCTCAAACTGGTGTCTCCAGTTGTGAACTGGGAGATGAAGGAGCTCTCCCACTGTGTGCATGCGTCAACAGTGACTTGTATCAGCAAAGATAAAAACTGTAGATCTGATGTAACACCATGTGAATTTACTCTTCGCAGTTTGATACAAGACTTTGATTTAGCATTAACCATCATTTTTCCATTTGCTGGAACCACTATCCCACTTTTATATCCCAGCATTATATTGAAGTTTTAAGTTGAAGTATCTATTGTTTTCTCATAATAATCTACCCATAATGCAATCTCAAAAACAATTGAAGCATATTTCCTGTATTTTATCAGCAAAGGAAAAGCTTTCGTAACAAATACAGCCTGTTTGGTTGAGATTGCCTCAGTTTCCACCAGATTCTCTCAATTAATATCTTCCATTGCTTTCCTTTCTCCACCAGGTATATACGATTTCCACTTGAATACAGCTGTGTTACTTCTACTATACGCTGGAATCTATCTTTTTTATAACATATTGTGAATTTCAGCAGATCGTAAAAGCAAGCTAAAAGTAGGGCATCAGCGATTAATTTCTTTTGAGGAGGATGAGAAGTGGGGTTAGATTCACAAAACTTGTTTAAATGATCTAAAATGATTTAAACGACACATTATGCAATATCCTTTGACCCTATTGAAAAATGATGAGGGAAAAATGTTCCCTCATCAGAAAAAAAAGACCTAGAGTTTGTAAACTTACAAGTTCTTCATCCACACTGAGGTCGTTCACTTCTGGCAAGTGGATATGGTAGTAAAAACACTTCCCTTAAATTAGTTTCAGACAATATGTGTTTGTAATCTCATGGCTGTGTTTTCAGCTGGTAATTTTTAGTATTTGAAAAATAAAACGAAAGAAAGAAGATAACTCCCTCTAGTGGTAGCATATGAATAGGGCAGGGTTATAGCAGTATTTACCATTCATTCTTGTTTCACTACATATTTTCTGCTCACTATATTATTTCACGTTCTAAAACATTAAATGACAAAGTAAATATTCTTATAATCATGTCTAAGGACCAAAAGTAATGTGTAATATGTATTCTTAAATAGTGAGTAGACTTCGCTGCATGGTTTTACAGCCACAAATCAAGACTTTTTTTGTCCCAAGTGAACTAGAATTGGTCCTGGTAAAGCAAACAAGACCCACAAGTGTGAACCAAACCCACAAGTTAAAACATATTCAGCACATAGCATAGATAGCCAGTCATAAATATAGATATTCAAAATGCAGAAAAGGTTGTCACTTCAAATTGTACAGTAGCACAAGTTTGCATAATATCAACTGGAGACTGTGTTATTGCTCCTTATTGCTATACTCGACAAAAAAAGCATAATTATTTTACTTCCATCACTTTGTTTTGTAATTTCTGTCGTGAACATACTGCGTAGCATTGTCCGTTTTCTGAAAACAAACTCGGCAACTCCGCAAACGTCTCGATATGAATAGGCGAGACCGGACTTTACTGCTGCCAAGTGCTTGTTAATATTCAGCACCGCCGCGTCTTTAGCCTCGGCAACAACAACAGAAAAACAACACCACAAATCAAACCAATTCGTCTGGCATGAGCTCAGCAAAGAGAAATGGAAAGAGAGAGCCAGCATCTTATGACATGCAAGACTGGAGTTATCTGAGTGAAGACGAGGAGGAGGAGAGAGAGACTGGAAAGATATTACTGCCGACAAGACAAGCATAAATGGCCTGCGGCGCATTGGAAGAACAGTGGCTGGGTTCATTACGACGGTATAGCCGAGGATAGTGCGAACGTATACCCACAAAACATGAGATTTCGGCCGAGAGACTGGTGGTAGTCGGCAGGCGGTCCTACACCCCCTCAAGCGGTAATACTGTGAATATACATCTCATTTACTCTACACATCTCCTGCCTCATTGCGTTGATATTGGAATAAACTGCAGAAAGAGTGTAAAATATGTTTTTTTGGCCAAGGATGAGATAGTTGACCGAAGATTTTTGACCAGAAGGCAAGGACTGAAATTGTAATGTAATGTAATGTAAACAATCACGAGTTTTCACATGCCTGTATAGTTTGGTCTCTTTTTTGATCAGCTGTTTTAGTTAGAAAAGTGGAGAAAAAAAATGGACCAATCCAGCCCAAAGTGTCATATAGCGACTCACAGGGCTTTTTCTCGCAAGTTTGTAAAAGATAAAATGTCTGATCTAATGAGATGAACAGAGTTTTGTATGTATATATAGTATCTGATATGTTCTCATTGTTACATTTACAAGTTGGGAAAAACAACACAGATTAATTATGACAAAGAAAGTTCTCCGTGTGTTTGAATATAATATTTACTACATAAGTTAAATTCAGTTCAACATTTCCCCAAGGCAGTAACAGTTATAGTCAAGGTCATGCTCAAGGATTGCATGTTTTTCAAATGATTTAAAATATGTTATATGCTTTAAAGGAGGTTAAAACAGGGAAAGTTACTGGTAGAACAATCAAACAAAAAGTAAAGCACTTAGTATGCGTCTTATTCGTTTGGCTACTTTTACAATACATGTCTATGAACATTTTCAAAGTGATTTCCAAAATCCAGCTTCAATGGGCTCATATAAGAATTAAGCTTTATTTTGGCACATTTGGCTAAAACATATTACAAAAAGACAGTGACTGGGACAAGCAACAGAGATAGAGAATCTTTTCAAATCAACAATTATTGTCCTTCTGAAGTTTTGATAAAATCTTACAATATGTAAATGTGAATGAATGATATGACAGAAAATTATATGTAGTGACATTTGATAAAGATTTCTGAAGTTCTGATTGATTGAACTCATTTGCATTTCAGGGTCAGTAATAATAATCATATTAGTATAAGTGTCCAATCATTTTAATCCATACTTTCTCACAATGTTATCAATATGAGTTTGCAGTCCTAAATGCGTATTATAAGGCAACACTATCGGACTAAAAGAAAAGCCGCTGAAGGCGACGCTAAAGCAAAAGTCCTTGTGCCTCCACTCCCTCATTGCAAACATCTTGACGTGCTGGGTGCAGAGAGAGACGGAGATGACGGATGAGTGTTGCCAGTGCGCGCTTGGCTTTAATATGTGTGTATCTGTCAGTATCTGCTCTAGCAGCTGTTCCCGGGGAGAAGCCTCTGACGCTGCGCTTCTCCCCAGAGCATACCTGGCGCCCGCTCCTTCATGAGAGTGAAGGACTAGGAAGGCAGCATCTCACGCTCTGCTCTCATCCTCGCGTGGAGTTCACTCATCCGCGAGGAGATAAAAAACAGATAGATAGTTTACTCCCACGTGGTTTGCCCAGTAGAGAATCAATAATTATGAAAGCAATTCAGAACACACAAAAGTACCTTGCAATACGCCAGTTTGTTTATCTGTAATATGTATATAGACCACAACCGTTGCGTGTCCTTGAGGATGTTGAGAATAAAGACGGGTGGAGCAAACTTTTGATCCACTGTCCAAAAAAGGTGACAATACAGTAACTTTTGCAATGATGAGCATAGATGGTAGATAGTCCTGATAATTTGGAGATTGAAGTTGGAAGAATGTTCTGAGAAAGCATTGGGTGTTGTTCTTTCAAAACCAGCCAAATCTGCACGTTTGCATTACCCAAAAATTCATACTTTTTGTACACGTTTTTAGTGGTAGGGGTAACCGGAGCAGTCGGAGAAAACCTACACAGACACTGGGAGAACATGCAAACTCCTCACAGAAAGGCCTGGAGGTGGAATCAAACCCATGACCGTCTCCCCACGTGCCGTCCTTTGGAGCCTTGAAACTTCATAAGAGACAAATCCAGACTCTTAAATCAAGCTCCCCCCCAAAGAAAATCAATGACTCTTCTGGCCCCTGTCAAAAAGCCATGTTCCAGCTGGCGGATGATTTTGCTATCAAAGATATAGCAGACATCTCAAAATGCTAACAGCTTCTTTCCTCAAGTTGTTATCAGTTTGAACAAAGCACTTCACGGTGACACTTATTGTACTGTACTTTTTAGCTTGTTGTATTTTATGTACGTGTCTTGTGCACACTGGGGGACTCTTGCACATGTATGCCCATGTGGTTTTACAGCATAAATCTGAAGCTTAAAACAACATTTTTGTTCCTTGGGAATTCAGATCGGTGTAAAGACAGTGTCTAAGATTCAGAAGTCAATGTATCAATTATGTTATATTGGCTTCAAATGGCCACTGAAAACTAGCACATGTAAACAAAAACACCCATTGAAGCAGGAATAGAAGAAATTCAACCAGGAATGCAGGAATTTTCCGAGCCCACCCAAAACTGGCATCTTTCTGCTTTGGGTAAATCTCCAAAAAACCCAGTGGGGAAAAAAGACACCTCAGGAAGAAGCACGGTGAAGGACGGATGCGCTCCCACGTACGGACAGGACATTTGCAGATTCCGAGATCACCCAGAGGCATAGAATGGTTGAATAGTTGATTCTACGCGGCCGCTGTTACTAAGATTATTCCAACATTCTGCCATTACTTCCACTTGTGCGCACCCATATTCGTTCCCAGTTTTAGTTCCATATGCAGTTGTCTGTGATCCCGGAGGCTTGCGTATACAGACTGCGATGGCCGGCGATGGGAGTAGATTGAGTTGTGACAGCCCCCATAGCGCAGTCTGACATGTGCAGCCATGGGCACACTCTTGGGGCTACAGCGGATTGACGTATCAGTGCGAGTTTATCACCAACATGACACGTCTCCAAAAGCCCGGGCCCCATAATGCTGCCACGGGCCTGTCAGGGTCTCGCACAACGCAAGAACTCACTACAAGACTTTTTTTCACCTCATCTGGGTATTACTGCATTATGTATATTAGAGCTTTAATGAATTGCAATCAAATCAGAATTGTACTTTTTCGAGATTGACCGATCCACATTGTCTTTGTTCTGTATTGTGTCTGTCCTCTTGTTCCTCTGCTCTATATCCTTGTATTTCTTGTTTTTGATGTTTTAAATGATTGTGCAGCACTTTCTAAACACCACCATTATCTTGTCGTCTTTGCAAAGGAAGCAAAGATAAGCCAAAACCCCATTTTAATGTAGGCTTTTCTAGAAGATGTGTCAATGGCATGAGTAGCTTTCGTCTTGTCATATTTTTCATAATTTGTGTAAACTGTCAGAATGTGTGTACAGCTGCACAGCACACGTCTGACTGAGATTCTCATGAGGAAAAAAAGATTAAAAACAACTTAATTCAAGGGTTATATATATTCTTCATAGTTCCAAAAGAAAAGGGTTGGCAAGAATTCTATGAACGTGTGTAGAAATGTGTGGGAATTCTGTAAGAAGGATGTCACTTTTTTAAATGCAACTCTCCTGAAGATTTTAGCTTTTGAAAAAAAAAAAAGTGCGTTGCAACACTGAAATTTCCTCACTGTGCGACAAATACAAAATTTTCTAATCCAAACCAACTGTTCAAACATGGAGGATGAATTTTCATGCATCACAAAAAGACTAAATATTACTGTAAAAGTTTAAGTTTTATGGTAATATACATCTGGCATAGACTCCAGACCTGTTATGCAAATTGAATATGAAAAAATTACTATCAAAACCGATATATTGTTGATTTAATGGATGTGACCAGAAACATTTGGTTTTCTGACTTCAAATAGAAGGAGTCTTTAACCATAGAAAAATATTCACTTAATGCAAAGTCTAGTCTTGTAGTTTGAACAGGAGGCGAAAGCCCTAAAATGTGAGATTATTATTTCATGTGGAGCTTTGCGTCGGCTGTCAGAAGTTTGTCTCCTTCAGTCTCTCTGTTGCTCTGCATTTGTGTTTTTGGCAAGAGGCGTCTTATTATACACAGCCCTTGCTCTGTCTCGTCCGGTTTGCCTTATCCTGTCACGGCTAAGATTCTCTGCGTGCCCTGGTCAGTTTCAATATTTCACGTCAATGAACACCCACAGAGTTTTCCCACTGGAAATTAAATGTTTGGGGCATCGCTGTCCAAAGACAAGGCCAAAAACATCCACAACGCTGCTTGACACACACTATATTGGAAATAGATGTTGTTGTGGTTGTTATTTCTTTGGTTCAAACTTCGTGTGTGTTTGCAGATGTAGGAGGCCCGGCTGACCCCATCGCCCCCACCATTGTCATCCCGCCCAGAAATACCAGCGTGGTGACGGGGACGTCTGAGGTGACCATGGAGTGTGTGGCTAATGCGAGGTAAGCTTGGAATACAAGATAGCGAAATCGAAAAGACAATGGTTATGTTTTGTATGTCCCTTAGCTCTCCTTTTGATTAATTCTATGCTAAGTTTAATTTTCAACAGAATAAAATAACAATTTAGCCTTGTTTTTCTTGATTATTTTTAGTTTAATGCTCAATCTGAGTTCCACATAGTGACCGAAAGCAAAAGGGTTACGCTTCTGATATAGCTTGTATGTAAGAGATAAGCCGCATGGTGGCTGAGTGGTTAGCATTCTCGCTTCTCAGCAAGTAAGTAAGTAAAGTTTATCTATATAGCGCCTTTCACAGACCAGGATCATGAAGCGCTTCACATTTAAAACATAAAGACTACACATACTACACATATAGATTTAAAAAACAAAGACATAGAAGGTCCTGGGTTCGAGACAGGGCCTTTCTGAGTGGAGTTTGCATGTTCTCCCTGTGTACTATGGCGACCACTGCTCCTGATGTAAGCCTTAGCGGCATCAGGAGGGGTCAATTGCCCTACGGAGATAAATAAAGTGCACTTTTACCTTTGTTGTTTTGTGCATTGTCTTGGCTGCAGAATTGGCATAGCTTTAAAAATGTATCATAGACTTTAGTTATTTGCATTTAGACTTGAAATGCAGAAAGTCAGTCACACTTCAAGCTCTGGCTGCCAATGTCCCTGCTACAAGTCAGCAGACACATGTGTTGTTCGAGCATTTAAGCAGAGAAACTCTTCATAATTCACAATGACAGAAATGAGAGGTTGTCAACTCCTGTGTTGATTCACTGGTGCACGGTGCAAACCACTCTGCCAACTGTTTATTTCCATGCTGATGGAGTTTCTTAAAATGTCACAGTACATGGCACATTACAGTATACATTATCACCTGCTTTTCAAGTATTTTAGGCAGTAAATACACATGCATTTAGAATTATTCCAGACCAGCAGCACGTTGAAAGACGAATCGATAAAGCCAAAGTAAATTAATAAATAAGGATTCCTGGTACATCTGTGCACTGTCAAACATCATTCTGCCCACAGTCGACACAGCCATGTCAGATTTTATAGATTTGACAGTAATGCGTGGCTCACCAGCTGTCCGGCACGACTGAAAATGACAATTACTGAACGCTGTGAAATAACCGCAGCATTAGTTAGACTTTGATTGATATCTGTCATTGGGAATCAACGCCACTGCAACAAGAAATGTACTTTTTTGGTAAAATAAGTTTGTGAAGAGAAACTCAGGGATTTACAATAATTTCTATATGAGACTAATGAAGGAGTTTATCTCTATGTTTAATGCACAATAGTTATTTTTAATTCTATTAATGAATAACTTGCCCAACTTGTGTCCTTGGGCAAGACACTTAACCCCACTTTGCCCAAAAGCCCCCACTGAAAGATCAAGGCTATGCTCACACTCAGAGAGCAGCCGTCCTCCTGTGGACTCACCACCTGCAGAGGGTCAGTGAGGGGCTGGTGCTATGAGACTTGGGTGGCATCTCTGACTGCCACCCCCCTGACCCAGAAATGGATTAAGGGGAAGAAAATGGATGGATGGATGGAATAACTACTTTTACTTCATGTGACTGTATTACCACCCCAGTCCCCCCCGCACCATCCTCCAGTTCTGTTGCCTTTTATTTTCGATTCATTCTCATTTTTCTTAATCCATGTCTGTGTAGCTGCCAGTCAATCTACATAGCTTAAATTTTGTTTCGTATTTGTTTCTTATTATTGTTTTTGACACTATTTTGCACAGTGTCTTTGGTTTCATTATTATTATTTATTACATTTGGGTTTTTTTTGGCAATGTTTTTTGTAGCCTCTCTTTAGTGGTAGGCATTTTAATCAAGCCTTAACTTGCAAATAGCATAGAGACCTTCAAACAAGGAAAAGAGAATGATTACTTCCAAATTCTATTGTTCCTATATCCTTTTTTTATAAAGAAGAGAGCTGTCAAATTGCTGACTGAAATAAATGATCGTCCTCAGTGCCACAAAACTTTCTCAAAATAAATTTTAGACTTTGTTGTCTGGTGCATTCATCATAATTTATACATGTTTTCTTTTGATGCAGGCCTTTGATCAAGCTGAGTATCACGTGGAGGAAAAACGGCGTGATCGTGAACGTGGGCTTGAGCGACTTCAGCCGCAGACTGACCATCCTGAGCCCCGTGGTGACCGACGCCGGATACTACGAGTGCGAGGCCATTCTCCGCAGCAGCAGTGTGCCCTCTGTCAGCGCCGGGGCCTTTCTACATGTTCTCGGTAAGAAATGTTCAAAAAGATAAAAGACAGTAATTACTGCTGTCATTTAGAATTGTCTCATTGTTGTTGAGTAAAGCTGGAATATCTGTGTTTTGGAACTAATTATTTACATCCAAACTATTCTGATCAGTGTCAAACCCATAGAGCATAGAAAGAGTGGTCTAGACCCATATTGTTAGTTGAGCTCACTTGGACAGGCTCCATAGTTAGGAATCTGGGGCTAAGTTTGTGGGTAGCAACAACCTAGTAACCAATCAACCAACCAAGAGCCAATCAGGCTGATTGGTTCCTCTGGACATTGATAATCTGCACGGTTTAATATCAATGGTGTGTATTTATATATTTGAATTGTATTAAGATGTTTTATGCATGCCTTTTTATCTATTTTTACATCGTCTTATAACAATGAAAATAGTTCTGATTCTCATCTTGTAGCTCGCCAAAGCCAAATTTGCTTTAGACATCATCTGGATAATTAGTTTTGGGATGACCAATGTCCACAAACTTTAAATATGTCCTTAAATGTCCTGGTTAATCACTGATGTCTTATTGATTCTGCAACAACACTATAAGAACCCCTCTGAAACGCTATATAAACTTTCCTTTGGATTCGCTTTCGCTTTAATTAATTTAAGAGGCACTCCAGTTCATCAACGTAAGGTCTTTTGTGACCACAGACCAATTTGCTTCGGAACAACATTGAAAGGATGCTCTTTTTGTTTCTTCCTCCTGCATGAAAGGCCTTGAACAGGAGATTACCAGCTCACTCTTCTCCGCAATAATCTCCATTACAACCCTCAAGCCTTTTTTGTTTTTACCTGTTTGACTAAAACTTCTCTGAGACATTTCAGTTTGGAGATCAGTTCCAAACGACCGCTTAAGTATCTCTGAGGAGAATAGGTTCATTGTTTTTTGCCCCCAGTGGCTTTGGTACGTGTATAATCCACTCTGACGCCGATGTGATATTCATCTAAATATACTGCCATTTGTCTGGAAGTTGTCACAGGCGAAGCGGCGTAGTCGTGAGGGAGCAAGGGGAAAGTATTATTGATTTAAAAGCAGAAGACTAATGCTTGGCCTAAAGAAACTGTTTAATAGCACAGCACAAGTCACTTTGATGTTTTCTTTTTCAAGGTTGTGATGCATTTCAAAGCACAACTGTAGTGAACGTACTGGAGTGAACTCACTTTTTTAAATTGCCAGTTGAAAAGATTCATTTCAAACATGATTCATTGGCCGAAAAAGTAATTAAATTTTGCTTGAAACTCAGCTCCAGTGGCGAAGACGTCGTAGGGTTCTAGGGTTGGGTTTCAAGCTATGGATCAGAGGGAATTTTGCCATGACGCTTAGAAAAAATTGGGTATTAGGTTTTTATGGTTCACCGTTATTCCAAAAAAAAAAATCACTGTCTAGTTGTATTATTATTTACCCATCAACATACAGAGAGATTTTCAAATATTTATTCTTTCAGTGCATTTCAAATTTTAAATCAGGCCAAAGCAGGGGCACCTATCTGGCAGGTGTCGTCTTTTGAAGAGGTCTTAAAGGAGATGTCTACAATTCGAAAAGATTAAACAAAAGATTAGTTTAATCTATAGTATATTGTTTTCATAAGAAATACATTTTATCAAGATTTGTTTGAGGAGAATAGTTAGACCAATGGTGAGGGACCTCAGGTATCAAGAATTATAATTATATTGCGTCCAATCAGGGACTTGTGAGGGCGGGTCTAACTGGCACATGTAAGCAACAAAACGTCTCTCCAGCTTCACAATTTGAAAAATACCTTACCTTCACTTTAAGTCCAACAAATGACGATATCAGAATTCAACAAATATAATGTGAATTTGACTGTTTTTTTTTCCTTTTGGTAGAACCACCTCAGTTTGTGAAGGAACCTGAGAAACATATCACAGCAGAGATGGAGAAGGTGGTGGACATTCCCTGTCAGGCCAGAGGTGAGCGACAAAACACGTTCCCAAATCAGTGGCTTTTCCTGCTCGTCAATGCCTGGTCCCGTCTGGTCGCAGAAACATAGCAGTCCCAGTAATGACCAGAGGGAGAGATAGTGCGTATTGGCAGCCTGGCTTTTTTAGTTGGCCATGTATATCTTGATTTTGCTTCAGTTTTAGTCTGCATCTGACGACATCAATGCAATGGCTACTTCACCTTCTGTTCTTGGCATCGACAACAATGCATTTTGAGCTGTCTAAGCTACAGAAAAATAATTGTAATTACTCTGCAGAAACAAAAGGTGTGGACAGTTCAACCTTTATGATAACAAAATAACTGTGTTTTTCTTCTATTAAGTGAGTGAACAAATGCAAATACATATACCGCAGCATATCTGACTTCAACTTTGAAAGTTTTTAACCTTATCAAAGTTATTGTTTGAACTTTAATTCAGGGGTGGGTGTTGAAATATATATATTTTTTGCTTATGTATTCACAGTATAGTTGTAGTATAGTAACACACACACACACACACACACATTATGGAATGAAGCACGAAGTATTTTTTTTTTTTCTGTTCACTTACTTTTCAACCCAAACAACAGATTATCATACATATTAACATTAAGAAATCCAGTGAGGAAATTTCAGTGATGCATCACAAGTTAAAACAGTAGGATTGACGAGCACACAGTACAAGATACATGGATAATAACTGTAAAAAATATAAAATCTCTATCTAAGGAAAGACGTATAAGATCTCCAACTTTAGCATGATGAAGATGCTAGACTTTAGTACAAAATCTCTGACTTTAGCATAATAAAGAAGCCGGTATAAAAGTGCATCCCTGTGCCTTATCCCCTCTCCACAGGGGTCCCGCAGCCGGACATGGTGTGGTTCAAAGACGCGGCCCCCATTGACCCGGTGAAGACCCCCAGGTACCGGGTGCTGGCGGGGGGCAGTCTGCAGGTCAATGGTCTCCTGCCCGACGACACCGGCATGTTCCAGTGTTTCGCTCGCAACGGAGCCGGAGAGGTGCAGACCAACACCTACCTGGCTGTTACAAGTGAGTACTGCTGATTTAAAAGTACAAATATTGGAATTAAATAATTTCAACAAACAAATGAAATTCAATCTAGAGCAGAACAGACAAAACATGGGTGTTAGTATTGGTTGGTAAGTAATCTGATAATACATCAATTACACCTATGACTCTGAAGACAATATTTTCAAGATTACATGTTGTTGCTGTACAGAAATGTGGTTAGGATTTGGCGCTTTGACCCCGACAGAGCATGCCACAATTGTAAAAGGGGAAAGAGATTATGGGATAAAATTATGAGGGCCTAGAGCCTGGTGGTGGTAGCTTGGGAGAAGGATGAAAGAGCCGGGCAGGAACAAAGCCGAAATGGGGAGGAGGAGGGTTGCTGCGTGAATGAAGCTGCTGCTTGAATGGAGCTTCGTCGTGATATGAAGCTTGATGCGGGGCTTTTCCTGATTGCTGCCAGGTGAGGATTTGCGTGTGCGGCGCTGTAGTTATTTTGAAAATACCTCACATTTAAATATTGAGTGCTTTAAAAATCAGGAAGTGCAAAATTCCCTCGAAAACACAACCAATCATTATAATAATACATTTAAAATAGAAGCAGATCAAATCATTTCTGTCATATCCACAACCAGACAACAATTTATTCTAACAAAACAATACTTTTGCTTCCTTCTCACCATGGCACTGGTGAATGTTTGGGCAAAATGACAAATAGTGAGCAAAAAATTGAAGGTAAAAAACTATTTTTATATTCAATTTTAGTTGAAGATCTTGTCACTAAATGACATAAAGTGCAAAATATGTGATGAACAAAAGCTGCATCTTGTATTGAAAAAAAAAAGTCAGTTAATTTGGACACTTCCTGATTCCCGCGGTGACATTGTTGCTGTAATAGAAGCTCCCACTGCTGCTGTTTATTCACTTATATTGTCACACAAAACAAAAGCCACTCAAACACTCAAAGCTGTTTATAGGACGATCATAAAATGTTCCAGCAATTTTGAGCATTCCATAAAAGAAAATATTGTTAATGCAGCAAAAGATAACAGTGGGTATATTTTCTAGAGTGGATTTGTACACATTTTTACTGCCAATAATTCCGAAAACTCGGGACAAAGCTGAGGACAAACCAGAGATACAAGAAAAAGGCAGAATAAACTTTAATTGGAGAAATGTATTAGCTGTGTTTTACTACACATTTAAAGGTGACGTCAGCAACTTCAATTGTAAATCATTTAAAATCATCTGACCATGAAACACTGTACTATCATCCACAGTAAGTATTGTTTTAAATACTATGTTTAAACTAGTCTCTCCTCTTAGCATAAGATTTGAATGAACTTTGTGGTCGAGGCGGGGACACGTGATTCTTTTGATATAATAAACATTTAACAGTTGGAAAGGACAACATTAAAACCAATTTGGAGACAATTCTTCCAATAATACAGCTTGATAAAAGGTACATTTGTACAGAAGGGATGGGGGTAGGGAAGCGTTTTAGCTCATTTATGCCAGAAGTTACAGCTAAAAGGTTTTGATGAAGAAACTGCTAATGGGTCAATCATGGGTCAAAATACACTTTATCCGAACATATTAGCGCTTTTTTACTCTAGTGAGAGAATCTATGATATGTAGAATTATTTTCATTTTCCACATTCTTCTATTTATTTCTCTGCTCCGAATGCCGTACTCTTGTCCATATGCGTTTTGTGTACACTGCGCTAACCCCATGTCTTTTAACTGCCCATAATCATTTCACCCACCGTGCTTCAATTTGGTATTTTTCTGACATCTAATTTTCTTCACTTTGTCTGTATTGCCTCAGCCGTCACTCCGGGCTCTTATCAGAATTCATGATATTCCACTACTCTCCTCTGTCCCACTTCTCGGCCCTGACAGCCTTCTTTCCTAGCTCCTTCCCTTCTCTCCTCGCTCGTCTCTCCTTCCCTCGCTCTCGTCGTGCATGTGTCCTGATTTTGTGCCAAACTTATTCCCCAACTATTTCACCATATTTCTCCAGGGAGCTGTACAGTGTTGGTTGCCTTTCTGACAATCCATAGCAGCTTTGATGTATTGCGGATCATCAATAGGACTTCACGATGTTTTTGTGTTTGCCTATACTTTCTGTTACAGGGCTTTGCTGTGCACAGTCTGCCTTAGGCTTTCATTTAGACAAGATTTAGTTCTGTTGGGTCATGCTTGTCTCACTTTATCCCCATTTATTCTAACAAGAAATCTTGCCTATACTATCTATACTTTGAAAATTATGAGAAAGCTTATCACTTTAGTTTTTAATAGACATGAGTGCAATGATTTCCTGTTCTCTAAATTACACACTACTATTAATATCAATTGCACTAATATTTTTGCTATAAGTTATCAAATGAGTTAATACACATTGGCAGTTATGAGATTTAAGTCTCAGGGCACCTACTTTGAAACCTAGTAACATATAGATCAGATCTGAATTGAACAGACAACTTATATTAGACTGCTGCCCCTGGGAACAGATGAAGCGAAAGAAAAAGTATCCATGGATGGAACTTAAGGCATACTAGATTTGTAGATTCCAATTGATTTATAGAAACAAAAACACTAACCATAGCTTTGTTTTAGTTCCCTTTTATTCAATGTTACTTCCAAATGACTGAATTTCGGTGTAACACTTTTTATAATACCATATACATGACACGTTGTAAAGTTAGAGATGACACTGGTTTGCCTGGAGAGTCCCTGAGTACAGGTCAAACTCTGAGGATTAGAATATTGTTCAAAAGTCCATTTGATTCTGTATTTCAGCTCACAATGTGAAACTGATGTATGACAGACTGCACAGTGACATATTTCAAGCCTTTATTTGTTATAATGTCAATAATTGGCTGACAGCTTGTAAGAACTTGAAAATGGACTGTAAGCCTAATTATCAAACGGCTTGTGTGGGGAAGTTGGCATGAGTGTCAGAATGAGAAGCAGACTCAAAATGTAAGAAATCTGCAAACATTTGAAATTAAGCAACGTACACACAGTAGGGGCAGGTGCCGGCTCCTTGAGGTCCATGAGCATGTGCGCTGACGTGCTTACAAAAGTGGTTTAGTTTCAACGGCGGAGATAGTCGTGACTACGTTCGTTCATATTTACAGTTGATCCGTACACACAGCTTTTGTCTCTGTGTCTTCTGAATTATCTCGGGTTTATTTCTTCCCTGACTCGGTTCACCTGTAGGCCCACAATTACGATTTAAAATACAGTAATAAATAAATAGTAAGTGTAAGTAAGTAGTCTTTTACATATATAGTGCATTTTACAGACCAAGGTCACCAAAACACTTTACAATCAAAGCTTCCAACCAACACCATCCATTCACTCTCTCATTACATTCATACACATTGTACATGTTTTTAGTGGTAGGCAAAACCGGAGCACCCGGAGGAAACCTATACTATGCAAACTCCTCACAGAAAGGCCCAGAGTTGGAATCAAACCCACAACCGTCTTGCTGTGAAACACAAGCTCTAACTGCTGCTAAATGACACAGTAACCCGTTTTGTCACTGCTTGGAAAATGTCACTTTGAATTTACTGTTTGATTGATCGTTATTGTAATGAAACTGTTTTACCTGTATAGCTGTTTTCTCAAAGGAAAAGTAGGAAAAATATTTGGCAGCTCTTTTCTCATGCTCTTTTATATGGTAATACGGTAGTTATCCATATGTATGACACATTCCAAGCAATGCAATGACGTGCACTCAATACAGGTGGCAGAAAAGGCCTTTCGTTTTTACCAGCAGTTAGAAATCCGTGTCAATATGAGAAGAATTAGGGCGACAAAGACATCAACCTCAACACTAATCTCTCCTCCGACGCCTATTATGTCTTTTTCATAAGCTCCCTGGCTGCTGTCTCTCTCTGTCCTGAGCCCACTTTGTTTGTGTCCTTCAGGTATCGCTCCGAATATTACGGCCGGGCCATCGGACAGCACGGTGATCGATGGCATGTCGGTCATCTTACACTGCGAGACGTCCGGAGCTCCCCGACCGGCAATCACCTGGCAGAAAGGTCTCAGCCTGGGATTTTTGTAATATGAAGTTTAAGACCACAGCTATCGCACTAAAGTTTGAACCGACTCGACCCCAGTGATGCCCTGTGATATCTGGCTGCCAATAGCAATATAAAAATGTCTAATACGAACGCCGGCGAATATTGTAGGAGCACTGTCCATTCAAAGCTCCATTCAAGATACCCTTTTAACTCCTTTCTATGAAGTTGTAAAGTTATCTCATGCGGTATCAAGGCAGAATCACAACTCAGAAGTGTTCAGTATCTCTGCTTTTGACCAATTCATCAAGAAAAAGGTTGACAAGTAATTGACAGATAAAATAGGCTCTAATTACATTACTTTTGTGCGATCATGCAAATACTCTTTGTTATTCGAAGTTGTATATGTGTAGTCTATTACAATGCCGTACCTGCAGGACATACTGCATATAATTGATTTTTGTTTTTTTCAGCAGCTTGTAAATAATTGAATATCCTACTAGCTACTGTTGCTAACCTGAAACATCTTGAATTGACAACTGTTTTTCTTAATTTGATAAATCTGATTTACAATGTTTTACTAAGTTACTCCGCTTACGTATCCTTAGATTTCATCAAGTTTAAAGCTGGGGTACCTAGCTTTCAGCCACAACACATGGTACTAAAATGTAAATCTAACCAATTCCGAGCTCTCACAATGGTTTGTCTTAATCACTTGTTTCCTCAAGCATGGATGTTTTGCTCTCTGTCACATCTTTAGATCACCTTTTTTAGACCGAAAATTAAACAAAAACTCACCCATTCAGCCTAAAGCGTCAACGAGCGACTCACAGGGCCCTTTCATACATGTTTGCAAAAGACAACACGATTTCTGAAAAGATGAAGACAGTGTGTTGTGGCGAGAATTGTTTAAATCTCTCTCTGTGCAGGAATAAATTGATTTGAATTGATAAAAAGACACTTTTTCAAAATGGAGAAATGTACATGTCACATTTGGCATAAATAGAATCAGTCAGGGTGTGCAAAAACAGCAAACATGATAAAGCAGTGAAGAAGAATTTGATATACAATAATAAGTGCGATTCATGGGGGAATAAAAAGGCTAGGTACCCCAGATTTACCCACGTTCAGAATCCGAACCTCTACATATACATACAACCTGCTTAGCCTGCTGCAGCATGCATCGCCGTGTCCCGTCACTGCTCTCGCTCCGGCGGGATGTTCAGGCTGATTAATGCGCACGCTCCTGCTTATCTCTCTCTCCCCTCCGGCTGAAGGTGAGCGAGTGTTGGCCAGCGGATCTGTGCAGCTGCCCCGCTTTACCCTGCTGGAGTCGGGGAGCCTCCTGATCTCCCCCTCCCACATCTCCGACGCCGGGACCTACATATGCATGGCCAGTAACTCCAGGGGCATCGACGAGGCCTCCGCTGACCTGGTGGTGTGGGGTGAGTGAGACATGAATGAATAAATGTGCATTTGTTATGGGGCAAGGGAGAGAGAAATGTTGAGGTAAAGATTCTCCAGGTGCGGTGGATATCAGAGTCTACGTACGGTAGTGAATTTCAGTATAGGTGGCTTTCTCAACAAGTCTACATACCTGATGAGAATTTATAATTTAACAGCTATATTTTTCCACACATGGTTAGTGGTTGGGGGCGAAGAGCTCAGTCACACGAGAGGAACTTGAAGTAGAGCCGCTTCTCCTCCACATCGAGAGGAGCCAGTTGAGGTTGTTCAGGCGTCTTGTTTTGAATCCCAATGTTACGTTCAGCGTTAAGTTGGATCAACATTATTATCTAAATAGATTCAATACAGGTTCATAAATACAGAAAGTTATTGTGTTTCCACTATTTTTTCCATTTCCTCGTAAATGGCTATGACAACACACATACTATAGAGTCAGGGTATGCAAACCTGTGAGTACATTTATATACAGTTTTGTCAATCCAGAAAACAACAGCATTGGCCATCATGTCTCAAAATGAAGTCATTTTTAATTTCACTTAGTCTTGATGATTTATCAGACGTGGGGCCTCAAAGCTGTTTCCTCAAAGGCATCTTGAAGTACCACCTTTTCACCTGCCTTTCCAAAAAAGATTTTTGATGGATCGTTCAGAAGGATGTGTTTGAATGTGTCGTATTCAAACACTGATTTACTGTCATTTCTTTCCAAACTACAACATCAAAATGAGAATTTGCATCTTTTAGAAGAATCTAGTCTAATTTAAGAATAATCCAAGTATCCGCTGTATATTCCCCTTTGTACCATTGACTGTTCTAGTCTGGTTATACAGAAGTTCAGGTTAAGTATATATTGTTAACCTTGTTTTTTTTAAAGTGCTCACTAACAACTTCTCAAGGATTCTCGGCGTAACCGCTACAACTTGAATACAGATTTAAAGCACCACTTTTCTTCCACTCTAAGGGGCTCTTGCAGAATTGTGGAGATGCAATGATAAAGGCAATTCTCGCAGATACAAAGTCTTCTCTTCCTGCACCGTGTAGCCATCAACAACACAAATCCATCAAGGAACCAGCCGCCGTCGCTCTGTCTGAAATACGTTTTTGAAAATGCATTTGTCATGTTTGATTTCCCCGTTCTATGAGCATGTATTTTCTTGTGTTTGCAGCCCGAACTCGCATCACCACACCTCCTCAGGACCAGAGCGTGATCAAGGGCACCAAGGCGGTTTTGACCTGCGGAGTGACCCATGACCCCAGTGTCTCTGTCCGGTGAGTATCCAGCACCGAAAGTAGCCAGTGCAAAGTTAATGCATTGGTTTAATTATAGCACTTTTTTGGACACTCAAAGACGCTTTACTTGTCAGCTGCAATGGGGCACACTGACAGAAGAGAGGCAACCAGTATGTGCCATCGGCCCCTCCAACCACAAACCAAAGCAATGGCAATGGGGGTGAAGTGTCTTGCCTAAGGACGTAACAACAGTTTGGCACTTTACAGCCACAGCCGCCCCACTGTGGCACCAGGTGTTCCCAGAGGTCTCTCATCACAGTACTAACCAAGGCCTGAGCTGCAAAGCCTAGAAAATAAGGATTAGAGGGGATTTGATCGATGTATTTTAGCTTTGAAGGATGCGACATTAAGGGAATCTAGAGAATCTTACACTTTTTGCTCTTGTAAGATACTGTTGTGTTAGTGGAACAAGATATAGTAACTCTTCATGTTGAATATTTTTCTACACTATGGTCATGATGTCTTTAAAATGATCAAGCATTAATTTTAAACTTTGCACAATAAGATTATTGTTAGTGAAAGCAAAAACATACTTTTTTGTTTGATCCCCACACTTACAAGTCAGTACAAAAAACAAAACTAAAACTTGTGTGTCAGATGGAAAATGGAGAAACAGAAATATTGCAACCCTCGTTCTTTGCTATGTTTACTTTTTATATTTTTTGACCGCTTCAATCCAATGGAGAATCAATTGAAAGAGCGTTTCTGTGTATTTCTGTGTATTTGATTAAACTGATGCGTTGGCATGAACTCTACAAAGACCAAAAAGTTCCAAAGCTATTTTCCCTCGCTGTTGTCTGGCTGTCCCTTGAATCACTTGGCTTTATTTGCAATGCCCTGGTGTGCCGCAAAATATGTTTTCCCTATTTGAAGTTGAGCCATACTGTGAGCCGACATATCTCCCCACCATTAAGAGTTGGCCTGTCTTGTTCACGCTCCTCAAAAAGCCATCTGAAGACTACATCAAACGCATTACAGTACATACCGAGAGTTTAGTGGGATTTGTCGATCTGTTCGAGCTCCAAATGGCCAAAATTAAGCCAACGATTCCTCGCCGTTTGAATGCATAACTTGTCTTTTCGACCATTTACCATTTTTCTCTTGTAAAACAAAAATATCTCATATATATCTCACCCCTCATTATCCCAGCATACCTCAAGACCCATTTCCATTCATACAAATATTGAAATTTCCTTATGAGCACTTTTACTCTAAGTTTACTCCTACATCAAAAGCATTACAGTACATACAGAGTTCAGTGGGCTTTGTCAATCCGTTCAAGTTCCAAAACGAGCAGATTCCTCGCCGTTTGAATACATAACTTGCTTTTTTTCAACCTTTTAAACTTTTTTTTCTTGTCAAGCAAAAATATCTCATGTTAAATCTCATCCCTCATTACCCCAGTGTACCTCAAGATGCATTTCCATTCATAAATGTATGGCAATTTTCTTATACGCAACCTTTACTCTAAGTTTACTACTGCCGCAAACTAGAACACAAACACAACAAACAGTTTTATTTCATTTTTGATCCTGCTGAACTCCTTTCAAACATTGTCAATGATCAGTGAAGCGTTCTGTCACTTTCCGTTCGGCGCAGGGGCCCACATCTGAAGCTGGCTATTGGAGTTTTGCAGTTTTGATGCGCGGCAATAGGGACGTTTGATATGCAGACATCAGGAGGGGCTCTGATATTCACGAGGCAACTCCGTGTGATGTTGGTAGGGTTCGAAAAACACACAAGGGGGGCGAAGGGAAGATAAAATGCCTTTGCTAATACTCAATCCTGCATCCAATTGATATTATGGGAACGAGAGGAACAAGCTCAACCGGTGCGTATTGTAATTATTGCACGTCAAAAGTAATTAAAGTACAATCTATTGGTGTCATGCATAATGTGGTTTGCTGTTCATTTTCCAGCAGGTGGGTAAACGGGTGTATTTAGAATTGGCCTCGACAGAAGCTCCGGCGGTAAAGCAATTACGGTTTACAGAGGGATGCGTGACATAGTTTCATGCTGGTTGTATTTATAGGTGTTGGACTAAATTGTGCCGTTAAATGTATTGGCCTTTTACATTTGAGATTCAATTCATGAGCTATTGGTTTGTATACTATAAACCAATATTGACCTTTATTTCACCAAAACCCAAGATGATTTTAATATTCAGGAAAAAAAGACAAAAGGAGACGCATGGATGTATTGTAGGATCTAATATTATCGGCAATACCGTCTGTATTGATGCTTAAACCTGTCTCCACTATGGACAAGTGGCCAACCGTGGTACTGCAGGTTAAATTCAAATAGGCTGTTTGGAAATTTTCCCATAGACCTAAAATATAACAGCTCGTCCTCAGCTGATAGGGAACCCACAGCTTTCTCAAATGTCGGATTTTTGCAGGATTTTAGTGTTCCTTGTCAAATCCATTGGTTGTCTATAAATCTACACTTGTATGCAATATACTGGGCTCGTTCTGGTCCCGCTCTCGATCAGCTTTTCTCAGCGTCACACTTGACTGGTAAGGAAGTTTCTCAGTGGAAGTAGAATGTTTGAGAAGTTCAATGAGAATGCACAGACTAATGATTAGTCAATAGTATTATTTGAATTAATTAATGCATTTTGTTGATCACAAATGTTATCTATTTGAGAGTATAATTCCCAATAAAAATGCGTTTTCTATTCATGAGCTATCATACTTCGCAATTCCTCATAAACCATGTTTGACCAACCAGAGAACAGCTTTGAAAACTTGTCATTTTTAAATAGGTTGAAATGAGGTTTTGTACATCCTTGCATTTACATATATCACCATATTCACATTAAACAATTTTTTAAGGCCGCCTTTGTACATCCTCAGGTTTTTTTCAACATCACTTCTTATTATAACCGCTAAGATAGAATTTAAATAACTTTGAAATGCAGCAATGACCTGCTTAGAGTGTGATCTATTTGCCTCTCACAAAGCGCTGACCCAGAATTTAAAGACGTGAGTTTTCTATTTGACGCTTATATAGTCAGCGCCCAGAGCCAATATGCATATGTTAACCGCCTCTCGTCTGCGTCTGTAATGCACGCGGCTTCATTGTGGGAAATAAATCGGCGTATCGGTCGGCCTCTCCAAAACTTGCCTCGGAAAAGGTCACTACTGCTGTTTCTTATGTTGCGGTTTTTTCTTTTTGCATTTCTCACAGGCACATATGGGAGAAGGAGGGCGCGGTGATAAATGTCCAGTCTTTCCCGCGAATGAAGTTAGACGCAGACGGGACCCTGCACATTTCCCAAACCTGGTCCGGAGACATTGGCACGTACACCTGTAGAGTGACTTCTGTGGGAGGGAACGACTCGCGCAACGCACATCTCCGAGTCAGGTAAGAAGAAAAGCAAAGTTACAAATGCTACCGACTTATTCATGAGGTTGTATTGTCTGACTTTGGATTTTGACTCAGTTCCAGATTTCCATTCATTGAAATAGTTACAACAGGTCTTGCTATCAACGCCACTGCTGTGAAGTAATCAAACCAAAACATTATTGTATCGTATTAGAAATCATTTTTGGATACTTAGAATAGCCCTGTGAATCACTTCTTGACACTATGGGCTGACTGATTGACTGAGCAATAATGGTTCTCTGTTTTTCTTGTAAATCTGAAAAATCTGACAGACAGAGGCCAAACAATGTACATGCAGATGAAACTAGTGATGGAACCAAACTGTTTTGAGACCGGGAAACTAGTCTGGTGGAATTTGATTAGATATACAGTACCTATGAATTGGGGTTTGAAAGATGGGTAGCACTAGATGAAACCCTGTCTATTCTATATAATTTATTATCATAACTATTATGCAACATTTAACCACATTACAACATTGCTTCTGATCAAAAACAGACCCGGATATGTTTTTAGATCCATCTACACCTATCAGGAACTTCAGGCACAAACATCATAGTCACTGTACCGCTATGACATAAAATCTGTGTTTGCAGAAAAAAAACAAAAAAACAACAAACTTTTCCCTCTGGTGGTAGCATAGAGAGTTACAGGCAGAAATCATGTTGTATCTTTCCCACTTAATACATAGTCCATTTGATGGCCGAAAATAAAGTATGTATTTTGTGTTTTAGTAACTTGGAACACAAAGTCAAAAAGTACGTCATGTCCACATCCCAGTGCACACAATGCCACTTTTGCTCAAAAACCCCCCACACTATAACATCTTCCCAGTCTCAACGACACATACACCTTTTCCAGTACAGGTTAGATGACTTCCTGGCGTGTCATAATCCTCTCTCACACATCAGTCCTGTTCTCGTCCGTCCATTTTCCGCTCTACACCGCTTTCTCCGGTGAAGCAGCACAGGGCCGAGCATGTTCCCCTCGTATCCACAACAAATGTCTTTCTTAGCAACACCTCTTTCTCATTCCCACCTAAACGCCTGCATCTCCGCACCGTCTCTGTCCTCATTTTCACCCTGCTATCCACTGGGGACTAGAGATATATGGCTTTTTTTTTTCTTCTATTTCTCTATTCCCTGTACACTTGGGTCCCGCTATACTTTCCCCCTGGCTTTTCTGTTTGTCATTGGCAATGTTCTTTTTTCCAGCCTCAACTTTTTGTTTTTTTTTCATTTTTTGCGTGGTGCATCTCTACATCTCAAGCTAAATTGAATATGAATGAGTTGTCTAACTTCCTGCCGCCGCTCTCCAACTGATGCCCCCGTCGCTCGTGTCGGTGGTGTGAATTTTGACGGAGCAGAATGTGAATCTGCAGCTGTCAAAATGCACATTTGGAAGAGTGCAGCAGTCAATTAAGGATTCGTCACTGGGATTTGACTTAATCAGGTTCACTATTAAACATATCTAAATTATTTTGTTGTTCTATATGTTTATTATGACGCACACATTCTGAATACTTTTCCACTGCATTCAACACATTGAACAAACCGCCTGAAAGAAAACTTAAACCTGGGGTACCAAACTTTTCATACATACCACAGACTCTACATGATCTCATATCAACAAGTAATCGACAGTCCAGGATCACTATTTCATGTAGGGTTCACTGGGGTTATGTTCAGGACTAGGGTTAGGTTTAGGATTAGGGTGAGCAATCAATAGATTAGGGTTTGGACTAGAGTTTGGGTTAAGATTAGGATGAGGGTTTGCTGTCATTAAGGTTGGGACTAGGGTTAGCTTTAGCGTAGAGAATTGGATAATGGTTAAGGTTATGAGTCCAGTGATCATGGAGTGGTAATTATTTGGTGATATCAAAGTAAAATATTGTGAAACATCCAATCACAACATCCGTCTTCATCTGATTTGTAAGACCCCTGTGAGTATCTCAAGTCATAGAATGGATCAACGTGACCATTGTTTGTTTGTGAAAGAATGTAGCTGGAATATGTAGGACCTAACTATCAAAACACAACATGTTTTACTACAATGCATGTAACTAGTTTTAAGCCCTCAAAACAGTTTCACATATCTTATGTTACCAATATCACATGTTTCTCAGACAGAAAAATAGAGAACAGAGCCACCCTCAATCAGCTCTCAGGCCAAACATGTATTATTTATAGAAAAAACACTGAGAGACTTACACAATTTTTTTCTCAAATCCTCTGTTTGGTAACTGTGTCTATTGTCACAGTCTTTGTACACAGTATCCTTTTTTAAAAACCTGCCTCGGACTCTACCCATCCCCTGTCTCTCCCATAAAATATTCACCAAATAAAAGGCCTGTATTGTCCTGTAAGCCCTTGGCACCGGGACAGAGCCGATTCTTTTATTTATCAGTGTTGTTCTTGTGTCCCCGCAGGCAGCTGCCCCATGCCCCGGAGAACCCCACAGCCGTTCTGAGCGCGTCTGAAAAGAGAGCCATCGACCTGTCCTGGGCCAAGCCTTTTGATGGGAACAGCCCTCTCATTCGCTACATCCTGGAGGTCTCCGAGAACAGTGAGCGATGTTTACCTTGGGCTCGAAGGCTATTTCAGTCGTCGCACACAACAGTTCCCTGGCAATACTGCATAATTTATAATGGCTGGACTTCTATCTAAAAGTTGTGTGCGGTTTTTTCTTTTTTGCTTCCAGTTAAGTTTGAGCTCGGCGTAACTTTGGTTGAAGTAAAGAAGGGGAAAGATTTTGACTGGAAAATGTCGAGAATTTGGATCAGCAAGGGAAAGCATTTAGTCCATGTCCATGTACATTTTCTCTCATATGAACCAATTCTTGTTACGTTCAAAATTATGGTATTGTCCACAGTTTATAAATTGTTATAATAGTTTATAATACTAATGTCCAATCATCTTCCATTGTGCATTATACAGTTACAACAGAATATACCATGATGAATTATGAGGTAATAATTGCTTGAATTGAATGGTTTTTATCCTTGTATGAGTTCATTCTGACTGTCTTAAAATAAGATTTGGGACGAAGCCATTCAGTCTTATTTCGAGAACTGTTGATTCATTTTCTTATTACAAGGAGACTTTTCTTGTATCTTTTTTAAAACAGATCATTGTGCTTGTCCCATTGGAAAATCTTGTTTGAAAGCTGTCAAAATTAAGTCAACAATCTCAAATTCAGAAACATTTTGCCAAATTTGAGAAAAGTTTGACTTGTTTTGCATCACTTTCACTAACTCGGAGAACTAGAATATTTTGTTTAAAACGTTAATTTGCTTCTGATGCAAAGTGAGATACATCCATGATTAGTTTATTAGTTTACATTTTTATTCATTTTTTCTGTCGGGACAAAAAAGTTAGCATAACAGCTTTTTACACAGGGCTAACCAGTGGTGTAATATGGCCGCCCTCCAGTTGGACATTAGTGACTGCTTTATCACGCAGCTCTAATTAACCGCTTCCGTCGTTATTACCTCTGACCTAGACGCTCCGTGGGCCATCCTGCTCGCCAACATCGAGCCCGAGTCCACGGCGGTGACGGTGAACGGCCTGATCCCGGCTCGCTCCTATCAGTTCCGCCTTTGTGCCGTTAACGACGTGGGCAAGGGACAGTTCAGCAAAGAGACGGAACGGTGAGGACCACACACGCACACACACAAACACACACTCACACACACACATCGCACACTCACTAAACTAAAGCACTGTTCTCTTCCTATTATCGACCCACTGCTACCGAACCACAAAAGGACTATACACAGGAAAAGGATACGCAATTAGCACAAGGTTTATGGACAAGACAAACTTTGCATCTTTTATGAGGGGGTTTAGTGAAGTCGCTTAGAGTGGGAGCTCAAGAGACTCGAGTTTTCGAACAAATTTGTTACATTTTGGTTGTTTTTTGGCCTGTATTTATGGATCCCGAAAAGTCTGAAAAAAGATAAAATACACTTTATTGATCTCACAAAGGAGAAAGGAACAATTTATGGGACATTGCCATCAGCATCAAAATATTTTCATTGACACGATTAGTTACACATTGGGACTTTGTAATGAACATTTAGAGTGAGAAAAGTCATAAATCCTCTTCGCAGTATGTTAAGGTTTATGTGACGTTGCAAAAACAATGTATTGATTGCTAGATTAACTGCCATAATTGATGGATCTTTTTGGAAATTACACTTTTTTTAAAACAATTGTCTTTGCCAGAAATGTATGTGATCTTAGGCCACACTTGAATTTTGAAGTTGAAATTTCACTTAACTAACTGGCCACCCAAAGGAGGGACTCATTCTGCTTTACACAGAAAGCTGAAAAGGTGAAGTCTGGTTTGTACATTATTTTGAAAAAATAAAAAATAAATGTCCCTTTGATTACATTATTATGCAGGTCCAAATTGATGGTTAAACTTCAAATTACTATGGTAAAGTATTTTTGCAAGGACTATAAGAGATTTGTGCACGACATAAATATTTAGGGCATTTCTTATACGTGTAGTCTTGTAAATAATAATGTCAGTTTAAAAATTAACCAGCACTTTCACACAGCTTGATGATGCATATTTTATTTGAGATTTTACCAAAGTAAATATTGAGGCTTTTAGTGGTGAGAGTGAAGACATGAGCTTTCTGAGTAATACCTCTTCAAACACATAGTCTTCACTTTGATCCTTTGAAAAGCTGAAAACGTGAAAATAAAATAGAGCGCTACCTGCCAGGAGAGTTTAAAACTGTCTGAGTCAGTATCACGGCGGTGACACAAGCAGTTACCCTGACAACCACTCTGTCTGATCCTTTGAGTCTGAAGAGAGTGACGAGGATGAGACCGGATCAGGGATGGACCCAGAGTGTGCCGAGAGGAGTTCATATACCGCCAGCCGCACAAAAAAACAAAACTGTTGTGTAGCCTGTTGCTAACATATGGCTCGGGAAGAGAATTTCACAAAACTACACACAATTCACACAAGGAACAATAGTTAGCATAATGAAGGTGTAACAAGTCATAGTTTTGGACTGTTGCACTGCTTTTTCCTTTATAAAGTTGTCCTAGTAAGAAAATATGTATATTTCTTACTATAGTCACTTTTAATTTAGATACACATAATACATATTGCACGAAAGAAAAGAAATATTGCACATTCCCTGTATTTTTGCACACCCTGAGTGATTGTATTTATGCCATATGTGACATGTACATTTCTCAATGAAGTCTATCTTTTCTTATTTTACCTGCAATAGTTCAGAAGACATATTTTGAATGTCAAAAATCATTTATACCCTTTTATCTTAAACCTGACGCTGGTCCAAACAGCACCAACCATTCACCACGCCTTATCCTGCTTAGCTTCTAATCTATGCCGAGATCTGGCTTTCACATGCAGGTGATGCCACACTGTCTGTTGATACATTTAGATAAACATCAAAACATCTCAATAAAAAGTATTCATTTTTACAACCCATTGAAAATAATACGAGGGACCAAAGCAATACGAAAAAGACTTAATCTACAAATGTTTTTTCGAATCCGCTTTTTTTTGCCGCTATTTCTTTCAACAGAAATCCTCCCCGCTAATGGATCAACTAACACACTATCATTTGTAATAATTATTTACAGTCAAGCTTCACGTACTTTGATGCTGTTTATAGCACCACAGTGACATGCCGCTGAAAAGACTGTAGATGTGAAATGGAGTGCGGTAAATAAATAATCGGATGAAGCACACACCTAGAACCCGCAAATGGAAGCTTTTATTAGATGCAACAAGAGTATGTGTGTGCCAGCCTGTTAAAACACAGCACAACAACAAAAACAAAACTGTGCTGCTGTTATTAGCCGATGATGAGTAACTATTGTCTTTTTTTCTTGTAGAGTATCTTTGCCAGAGGAACCTCCGAGTGCTCCTCCCCAAAACGTCATCGCCAGTGGACGCACAAACCAGTCCATCATGATCCAGTGGCAGCCTCCTCTAGAGAGCCACCAAAACGGGATCCTTCGAGGCTACACTGTCAAGTAAAGGCATTTTTCAGCAAAAAAATTGTTTTATGCTGTGATTAGCCATGACATTATGACTCCCTTGCTCTGTTTTTTGTATGTACAGTTTGGCCTTGTTCAATACTTTAATTACCTTTCTACCTTATTATATACTGTACCTATACTCTTCCTTACGTCTATAGCACTGGTTGGTAAACCCCAACCAGTGGGCCCAAAACGTCCAAAGGGCCGCAACGGGCTGAGAGCTGATTGGTTGAGTAAGGGTGGTCCGCTCTTTTTCACTTTTCTGTCTGATCGAATTACATAACAGAGATGCAAACTGGTGAAAGAACAGAGCTGGTCGAGAGCCAGGAACTATGTATTGTTTTGCCACAGTCATACTGTATATTTGTGATATAAAATTTAAATTAAAATACATTATGAAAATCTTGTCCTTATCTCTAAACCACATAGATGCTATGCCATGTTTCCTACATTTAACTCACCCCCTTTTTTTTTCACAGTCTCATTATACAGTCAATGGCATTGCTTAAAAATTGATACCTAATTGTTTTTTTTACAAATTTTACACTTGTATTGTTTCGAATGATTCATATAATGTTGCCCCTATTGGATAGTTGCATCAAAGAAATAACAGTAAAAGTAGCCAGGTCTGTTATAACATGTACCAGGGGATAAAGGATAATGTCTTTCTGAAATAAATAACAGAAATATATTGAATGATTAGCATAGATCTGTATCATAATGTTAGGAGTAAGAAAAAATAGAAAATACTTTTATGGATTGTGGAATTTGAACATATAGATTAAATTACAAATGGCATAACTCTATCTGCTTTGACAGTAAGGAAACATTAAGTTAGTAAAGTCAGTAACTTTAAACTTTAATTGCATAAATCTAATTGAATATCATCACATTCTCACAGTGATAGCGATAGCACGGGACATGTAATTGGTGTGAAATCCACTGATTGTTTTAAATTGTAAAAGCTACAGAAAGAGAACGTCATACCATAGACCTCCATGTGTTTCAATTGTGACTGATATATTGTCTCCCCCTAAAGGCCCATCCGGGTATTGCATGTTTTTCCTATGCATACTGTACAAGCCGTGCAGTAAAAAAGTCTGTTGTGGATTGCAGATATCGGCTCACAGGGCTGCCCGTGGACTACCAAATCAAAAACATCACCAGTCCAGATGTGACAAACTTGTTGCTGGAAGACCTCATCATTTGGACCAACTATGAGATTGAAGTAGCAGCATACAACGGGGCAGGACTTGGCACGTTCAGCCACAAGGTGTCGGAGTGGACGCTGCAAGGAGGTGAGCACTTCTTCATTTCTATTTCTAATTTTGCGTTGTACACTGGCAATATATGAGACAAAAGTGTGATTTCTGCGCTTTCCAGAAGTCTTATAAAACCATACTTTTCCTTATCTTAAGACCAAAAAATGTACTATTATCACTTTTGTTTTGTTTTACCATTTTGTTTTCTTATCTATTTTACAAACCGTTGGCCTAAGTCATGTTTCAACGTTTAAAACAACAAGATGTTTTCTATTGATTCATTCTGCCAAATTATGCTATCAGGCTAATGCAATGCTAACAAACATACATAAAAAACACACACACATCAGGTCAAGGGCAGAAATCCAAACCATATGAAAAAATTTACCAAGGAAAAAAATATTATTATTACTTTTAGTGTTGAATAGGAAAGAGTGTTGCTAGTATACCTTTCTATATATCCATAGATAAAACGGAGTAAGTTGATTTTGCCCAAATGTTGCCCAACACTATGGAATAAAGGTCATTTCGGCCACATTTACAACAGAAATGCTTGTTTCTTGTCTCACCCTGTCTTCATGAGCATTCCTGTCAAAACAACAACATATAAGAAAATACTTACATACTTCCCCTTTAACTTTTTTTTTTTTTTTTTTTTGCATGTGGGCATAAGTTGGAGATAAATGAATGGACACTACAGCTTCCACTATGATTGCAGCTTGCATTCTAATTCACATTACCGGAAAAACTATATTCCATGTCTGCAATGCTTGTTTGATGCGTTTAGTATCGACTTCTCATTTTCCAGGCTTTTAAAAGTTCCCCTTAAAAGCACTATTGACACTCATGCGTCCAGACTACGCAATAATTGTTGTTGTACACAAATAAATCTTGTTTTTGTCTGAAAGCTCATACATAGACATAGATCCGATGTCCTGACATCGGATCTATAACCGCCTCACACACACACGCACGCACACACACACACACACACACACACACACACACACACACACACACACACACACACACACACACACTGGCTACTGCTCTTACAGAGAGTGGCATCAGGAGCAATATCAGTATTTCTGCCCCTGACCTCCACAACACCAATCAGTCTGTCATCAAAACAGCAGGCGACGACCGCAGCCCGGCTCACCTCTGCTAACTCCGCCATCACACACTATTGAGAAGAGAGAAAACATATTTTTGAAGTTGTTATGAAGGAGTTTCAAAAAAGGCAGTATGGTCAAACAAAGGTCTATCAATGGAACAAAATACACAAGGCACATTTTGAGTTAGATGATACAGTTCAAAGATGATTCGTTTTCAGTGCACTCTTTGTTTGTTGAATGGTTTAAATGATTTCCTCAAGAGTATTCTGTGTTTAGAGGGAACTAGTCACAGCCTTTGAAAGGTCCCAGGAAAGATCCGCAGGACTTTCAACCTGGCAGGCTTTTAATTTCAATTTGTTTTGATCCTGTCATAGATTTAACACAAACCTCAGTGAAAAGATATTTGTGATTAATGTGAGACAGGCCTATTGCCGCAACATTGAAATATCAAAACAACAATTGTGTATTCATATCTATGGGAAGTCTTCAAATGTTTCACATACAAGAATCTGAATACCAGAATTTTTTGCACAAATATTCCAATGTGGTTTTGAATAATGATAATAATTATGACATTATTTATAGCGCATTTTTGTTGACACTTAAAAACACTTGTCATGACATTATTTGGTCACTTCTGTGGTATACTAACACGGGAGCCACAGCTGCCCTGGGGCACAATGACAGAAGCGAGAGTACCCTTTGACTTCCGCCAACCATTCACACACACACATACACACACACACACCAGACTCATTCTAGGCAATGTGGGTGAAGTGTCTTGCCTAAAGACACATCAATAGTCAGGCACTCTCCAGCCACAGCCGCCCTACTGTGGTACCTGGTGTTCCCAGAGATCTCTGACCAGGCGCTGTCCTTCTTAGCTTCAGAGGTTTGACAGATATGGCTTTCCCATCCAGATGGCGCCACAACTAATTAACTGAATATGACTTTTTATTTATTCATCATACATTTAAACAACAAAAAAGACATACAAGTACATACACGGGTGCAAAATAATAATATTGATGTACCAAATAAAAAAATTGAAAACAAAACATAACACAAAACAACACAAGATAACACAGGAAACACAAACTGTAATACACACAAACGTTTTAAATCCGTCTGCTCGTCTCTTCTTTCTTCAAGGCTACATGCTTAAAAAATTCCCTTTCACTCAAACTGCACACTTTTAATGAAATATGTCTTCTCCTCTACCTCAGTGCCAACCATCGCCCCCGGCAACGTGCAAGCTGAGCCAGTCAACTCCACGACCATCCGTTTCACCTGGACGGCCCCGAACCCACAGTTCATCAACGGCATCAACCAGGGCTACAAGGTGAGTATCCGTCACCGCGGCGACCGTGGGCCCCCGCTGTCAGCGCTGGAGTTGTAGTACCAAACACGGCGCTGTATATGCAGGGCGCCCGCAGGCAGGAGAGATATTCCCCTGAACGATGCTCCATGTCCCGCCATCCGTCACATCCAGTCCCTTCTCTTTATCTCCGCACATTCCTCACAGCGTTTGTTATGGTGCGGGAGGCGGGATGGCCCTTATTCATCATTCTGAGGCTACTCGGATTGAATTGAATTGGTCCTGTGTATTTTTTTTTTTTTTTTAGAAACGATGGAGATGATTGAAGGCTAATAATACAGATGGAACTCAGACAAATTTGAATATCATTCAAAAGTCTATGTACAGTACTTGCCTTATGAAGGAAAGAAGCTACAGATAAAAGTTGATTGATCGATTGATGCTTCTGTAATTCAACAATATATAGATATAGATATAGATAGATACATTGATACAGTATATTCATATTGTATTGGACATCAATCATCATCGTGACGTGACTTCCTGTATCCGGTGAGCGTGTTTCTTGACTGCTATCACTCTGCTCTCTGTTTGCACTAACAAACACATTACAAATCCACGTATTGTACACCAAGCTAACTGTGTAAGCACTCCGTGTCAGCTGTACTGTAGCTGAGGTTTAGGTAGCGGTTGTTTGTCTGGTCTCGGAGTCTGTTGTGCGGGCCCGGATCCGTACTAGCTTAGCCTAGCCTAGCTTAGCCTAGCCTAGCCGCTAACTCGCTACTATGGCGGCTGCTGTCTCTCCCTCAATCCTTTACTGCTCGAGTTGCCATATGGCGAGTCTAAACCCTGGATCCTTCTCTGAGGGTAGTGATAGATGTGTGAAGTGTAGTGTAGTCGTAGCTCTGGAATCCAGGGTCAGTGAGTTAGAGCTGCGTCTCCGAGCACTGGAGTCTCGAGCTAGCGCTAGCATTAGCTACAGCCAGGCCGTATCCTCAGGGACAGCGGAGCGCAGCTTTAGGGAAAGGCAGAGGAGAACTAGCGAGCCTAGCCTCCCAGCCCGTCCTCCGCAGCTGGGACAAGACCAGGATAGTGATGGCTTTGTGACTGTTCGGAGAGGGCGACGTGTTGTTGGTAGTTTCCCCATTGGGCCTCCTCCTGTTAGCATTTACAATCGCTGGGACGCTCTGTCCGGCTGCGCCCCCGCGCGGCCGGGCGGGGAAGAAGGCCCCACTGAGAGAGCCGCTGAGAGAGCTGCTGAGAGAGCCGATGGAGTCGCTGATGCGCTGGTAATTGGCTCCTCTATTGTTAGAGGTGTTAAGATCCCAGGAGCCACTGTTCGGTGCTTCCCTGGGGCCAGGCTTGGTGATATTGAAGGGAATCTGAGGCTCATGATGACCCACAAGCAGCGTTTCCGTCGAATTGTTATTCACGCGGGTGGTAATGACGTTCGGCGGAAACAGTCCGAGGTGTTGAAGCTGCAAGTCGCCGCCGTGTGCAAGCTGGCTAGCACAATGGCCGACACTGTCATCTTCTCTGGGCCCCTACCTAGCACTAGCAGTGCAGAAGCATTCAGCAGACACTCGGCTTTCAACCGCTGGCTGTCTGGCTGGTGCCCTCGAAGTGGTGTTGTTCATGTTGACAATTGGAGTGCCTTTTGGGGAAAGCCCGGTCTCATCCGCTCGGATGATATCCACCCAACGTTGGCGGGTACATCCCTTTTGGCTAAGAATTTGGCCCTGGCTCTAAACTGTTCTGCTCGGCTCAAATGACGATGCAGAACTGAGGCCCGGGTGCAGAGCTGCTCTGCCACAACCTCTGAGCCCCCATCTGTTCAGTTACTAGCCTCAGAAGCTAGTCAGATTGAAACTGTGTGTGCATGTGTGTGTGTGCCTGTGTGTGCTCAGTTACTAGCCTCAGAAGCTAGTCAGATTGAAACTGTGTGTGTTCCCCGCTTGAAGTCTAAAGCACTATATGCGAGGAAATCTGACCTAGGTGTCAGACACAGTAACTTAATAAAAGTTCAGACAGACAGAAATAGTTCTAGCGGTAGGGTTGTTAAATGTGGTTTAATGAACGTCAGATCAATCTCGTCTAAATCGCTTCTCATAAACGAACTTATTATAGACAAGGGCTTGGATCTGTTAGCGCTCTCGGAGACTTGGCTCCAACAGGACGAGTACGTTAGATTGAATGAGTGCACTCCTCCGACGCATGTTAACTACCAGAAAGCCAGAGCTACAGGTCGCGGCGGTGGTGTTGCGATTATATCACACACCAACTTGGTTCTTAGTCCCAAAACCAACAACGCTTTTCACTCGTTTGAAAACTTAACACTTTCAATCACCTGTCCTGGGTGGAGAAAACAAAAAGCAGTACTATTTATAGTTTTATACCGACCTCCTGGTCCTTACAGCGAGTTCCTAACAGAATTCTCTGACTTCATTTCAAACCTAGTTTTGGAATGGGAAAACATAGTTATAGCTGGAGACTTCAATATACATGTGGACGACAGCACTGACAGCTTAAACAAAGCTTTCAGCGCCGTACTAGATGGTGTTGGTTTTACTCAGAATGTCGAGGGACCTACTCACATTCATAACCACACCTTGGACCTTGTCCTGACCTACGGCTGTGATGTCTCCAATGTTGACATCCAGCGTCAAAGCTCGTTGCTGTCTGACCATTTCTTGATCACGTTTGATCTCGCTTTGGAGGACTTTCCTGTCCCGCAAGATAAAACCATAATGAAAAGAACCTTAAATGATAAATCTATCACAAGGTTCAAAGAACTAATACAGCCTATGTTGAATACTGCTGCAGGTGAACCTGTTCACAGCAGCTGCAGTCCCTCAGTCATTGACCAAACGGTGGGCAACACTATGGAGTCTTTAAAATCTGCATTAAATGCAGCAGCTCCTTTAAAACAGAAAACCATTAGGATTAGATCATCGTCGCCCTGGTACAGTGTTCAACTCCACACTTTAAAACAGGACGTCAAAAAATTGGAGAGGCTATATCGCCACTCCCACTCGGAGCCTGTCCACAGGGAGTGGAAAGCAGGTCTCCGAAACTACAAGAAGGCCCTTCGCGGGGCTCGAACTCAATACTATTCAACTTTAATAGAAGCGAATAAAAACAACAGTAGATTTTTGTTTGGTACCGTCGCTAAACTCACAAACTGCCATAGCGCAATCGAGCCTAAAATTCCAAGCTCACTGAGCAGTGTCGACTTTCTCCACTTCTTTAATAATAAAATTACATCCATCCGTGACAAGCTGGAGGAGGTTGCTCCTGCCGTTAGTGGTGGACAGGTTGAAGCGGCATACGTGACTTCCCACTTAGACTCTTCAGTGGGCCTTAATAAATTCATGGCTGTGAGCCAAGCAGAGGTGATCTCTGTGGTCACATCCTCAAAAGCCTCAACTTGCATGTTAGACGCAGTCCCGACATGGCTCTTCAAAGACATACTTCCTTTGATACTTGAGCCTATCGTAAATATAATAAACGCATCCATACAATGTGGCTATGTCCCACAAGCTTTTAAAACCGCGGTAATCAAACCCCTTCTGAAGAAAACAAACCTGGACCCAGAAATACTTACAAACTACAGACCGATCTCAAACCTCACTTTTATATCTAAAATCCTGGAAAAACTTATAGCTGAGCAGCTCCGCTGCCACCTGCAGGAAAATGATATGTTTGAAGTCTTTCAATCAGGATTCAGAGCTCATCATAGCACTGAAACGGCACTAGTCAAAGTCACAAATGACTTACTACTAGCTGCCGATAATGGACAAGTGTCAGTGCTGGTCCTACTGGACCTTAGTGCTGCATTTGACACAATAGACCACAGCATTCTACTGCAGAGGCTAGAATGTGATATAGGTCTTAGAGGAACAGCCCTTGGCTGGTTTAAATCCTATTTATCAGATCGATATCACTTCGTCAATGTGAATCAGGACTCGTCGCCTTATTCTGGAGTGGAATTCGGTGTGCCGCAGGGTTCGGTACTCCGACCGATTCTTTTTACTCTCTACATGCTGCCACTGGGAAACATTATTAAAAAGCATGGAATTAATTTCCACTGCTATGCAGATGACACACAGATTTATCTGTCGATGAAGCCTAATCAGACAGATCAGCTAGAAAAGCTCAGTGCCTGCATAAAGGACCTTAAAATGTGGATGACTCTTAACTTCCTACTTCTCAACCCGGAGAAGACAGAAGTGATCCTACTCGGTCCGAAGCGCCTGCGTGACTCCCTCACTAACCAGATGGTTACTCTCGATAATGTCAGTATAATACCCAGTAACACTGTGAGGAATCTTGGAGTCATTTTTGACCAAGAACTCTCCTTCAAGGCTTATATAAGCCAAGCAACTAAAACGGCGTACTTCCACTTACGGAACATCGCAAAAAATTAGGAATTTCCTTCCTAAAAGTGACGCGGAAAAACTCATTCACGCGTTTGTCACCTCAAGGCTCGACTACTGTAACGCTTTACTGGAAGCGTGCCCTAAAGCCTCTTTGAAGAGCTTCCAGCTCGTTCAGAATACAGCAGCTAGGATCTTAACAGGTACCAAAAGGAGGGAGCACATAACTCCGGTGTTAAAATCACTCCACTGGCTCCCTGTGGAGTACAGAATAAAGTTTAAAATCCTACTCTTAACATATAAAGCCATAAATGGCTTGGCTCCCTCTTATCTCCAAGACACGTTAGTGTCGTATCAACCAGGTCGAGCGTTGCGCTCACAAAACGCCAGACGTCTGGTGGTCCCTAAGGTCTCAAAGGTCACTGTTGGTGGCAGAGCATTTAGCTACCAAGCTCCTTTACTGTGGAATCAGCTTCCCATTTATGTTAAGGAAGCAGATACGGTCTCCACATTCAAGGCCAGGCTTAAAGCACTTTACTTTAATTTAGCATATAATTAGGTAATATATAATATGTAGTGTATATATTATATATATATGCTGTATTATGTTATATATTATGTTATATATTATTCAATAATGTATTGTGT